TAATGTAAAAATTTCTCTATGGTATCACGGCAAAAATTTAGCAATTTATATGATATGCACTGCATATAGAAATGCTAGAGATACAAGCATAAGAAATTACTTCAAAAAAACTGGGTTTCTATTAAATCAACGAAGTTGAAGATTGGGATAATCGATCTTATTCATAACGAATGGCAAGCATTGCTAATGAAATGGCTAATAATGACGTGGATGATGTAAAAATGCCTCGTAATCATACGAAAGCGTCAGAAGCTTTAGATACTATTTAAGATTATTTCAGCTTTTGATGCAATGAATATGGTATGAGCTGCATGTAGAAATATTGAAGATACTAGCATCAGAAATTATTTCAAAAAACAGGATTTCTATTTCCTGCTGAAACCAAAGGGTGGAAAACCAGTACAAAGTTTCAAAGTACTTATTTCAACTTATCTTTAAAAATATTTTGTTGCGCAGCGTAATTTGCAGAATTAAATTCTCTAAGTAATTTTTATATTTAAAAATTTATATATTAATTATATTTCTTATACCAGAAAATATGAATTTAAGTAGAATATATTTTATCAGCTTCATAATAATTATGAAATTTCAACTTAGATGAGTTTTAATAACTCTTCATTTCTTAAAGTTTTTTTTTTTTAAATTTTCTTTTCTCTCAAAGATTTCGTTAAAAAAAATATTTGCTCAACATTTTCTAAAATATAAATAAACGTTGAACTATTAACAAGTTTATTACTAATCTACACAAAATATCAAATTCAAAGAACAAACGACAGCTGCGTTCCTTTAGTTATTATCATTCCTCCATGCATATATCCGACAGTAAACAATTCCCAGAGAAATGTGTAATAAAATGTCCTCTTCAAGAAAGCTTTCAAAATTACTTTTGAAAGAAGAAACATTTACCTGATTCAGGAAAAAGAAATTGACAGAGACGCATCAAAATGGCGAACGAATTACTTTTTTTTTTTTTTTTGACGTGAAGCATCTGTGCTATAAAGTATACCTTTTTATGACCCTCACATTCAGTATAAATCAACAAGGATCAAGAACTTTCCTTTCACTTTTTCACGATATCTAACAAAACGCTTTACTTAATGCAGGCTTAACTTTTCTCGAAATCTAAAAATTTGAATTGAAAGTGACATTTTAAATTTTGATGAATCTGAAAAGAGAACGGTGTTCTATAACTGACATAAATGTAGGCTAATTTTTACAGATTCCTGTTTAACCTATCGAAAGTCATAAAATGATTACTGCTTTAAAAGAGTCAATTAGAGAAAAACAGCTGGAGGTAAATATGTACAATTTTCTATGTTATGTTTCAGAAAAAAATTATTTTTTATTCTTGCTAAGTTTAAAAATTGAAATGGAATGAATAGGTTTTCAAATTGTTCATCATTTGTAGTTATAATATCCTTCTACTTATCTTCAAATGGCTTTTATAATCTTCGATCTTTTTTTTTGACAACCTGGTAACAATTTTAATACATATGGGAAAAAATACCAAATGAATGATTTAAATACCGTATACTTTAGCTTTATTACCCCAAATTATGTTTTTTTAACGAAAAATGTCATTAGTATGAAATATAATAATTTTACTAGAATTTTTTTTCTCCGTGTGGTTAACACTTAGATTTTAACTTTTTACTCCGTACTTCTCAAAACTTACTTTTCATTCAAAATTTGTTACTTCTATCTTTTATTTCTTACAGTGAGGAAAAAAAGCATGATCAAAACTATAAAAATATGATAAATCATATAGTATTTTCAAGCTCATAGGAAACACCAAAATGTTCAATATTTTTACAAAGGCGATTTGTTGACTCGCAAGAGCAAAATATTGCTTTATTACAATACTGTTTGATGGCATATTTCAAACCAATAAAAATATTAAGATTAAAATGAGGCATATGTTTTAAACTTCAAGCTAAAAATTTCATTCCTAACTATTTCCAATTCTTTAGAAAGTTCAAGCTCAATTTTATTCTGGTAAACAAGATCTCCATACATCATTAAAAAATTTAAATTTTTCTAACAACTTCGAATTTGTTAATTAAGTTAATAAACACCAAAATACTTGTCGGGACACAAACTAATTCCTTTCTGATAAATACTTTCAACCAGAACTCGGAGGTTAATTGAACAGGGTTCATAAATTATTGCTCGTTAGAGAAGAGTTATAGGTTTTCTAAGCAGATCATTAATTTCATTTCCCATTTTGTGTCATCTCAAAACCCCTATCTAATTAGGACGAGTATGAACTTGATTTGTAGCTTTTTGAATTGTTGCTACGTTTCGATAATTTATCTTGATTAGAAGTACAATTCTGGCGATCAAAAACCACAGTTTAATGAAAATAATAAAAGTGCTACTCATAACTTGATTTTAAAATGAGTTAAGTCCTTGTCGAAGATGTTTAACTCACAACTTAAGCTGTTAGACATATGTAAATCATTTTTCTAAGATAAGTATATGTTGTGTAAATCTCCCACTTTGATATTTATGATAGCATTTTGCTGACAAGTTAGAATATATAAATTTGCTGTATTTGTGTAAAATCGCTTCTACAATTTTCGCCAAAACGAAACTTTTTTTGTTAAGTTATTTCACCAGTAAATTGTTCCACATTTTTTTAATCATTTGTCCCAAAACATTAATTTCAAATTTTTTTAATTAAATTTTTGTTTTAATTACCAAAAATTATCGAACCGAAATTAACAAATTACCAAATTAATTATTGAAAAATAACTTTTCTCTAATTACCATTTATTATAGCATGTTACCCATTTATTAGAAAAAATTGCGCTGTTAAAATTTCCGGATCAAATTACTGTATGAAATACCGACACTTTGGATACATAATCCGTATAATCAATTTTCGGTAAAATATTTTACCGTAATTTTTACAGTAATATTAATTTATTTAGAGTAGATCAGTGATTTTATGGTAATTATTACAACAAAAAATTACAGCATGTAATATTTTTTTGTTCCGTAACATGTTCTGGAACAAAAAATTACAGCATGTAATATTTTTTTGTTCCGTAACATGTTCTGGTAAAAATGGATTTTACAATAAAAAGTAGTAAGTGCCGATACTTTTTACCTCAATTTGATCAGGAATTTTTTATAGTTTGCTTTCTTTCCCCATAAAATACGCATTGATTACAATATATAATACGATGTGGTGACAATTAATTGGAATTTGTGAAAAATTTCCTAATTTTCTGGTCAATGGAATTTTGCACAAGCACTAAATTTGCTGACTCTTGTTATGAGGTACGGCATACTTTCTTAAGGTTTAAGACAAAGAATTTAATCTAAGGAATGTTTGTCATAACAATTAATAAATAGTTTAGTTAACTGATAACATATTTTCCACTTTTGGATTATAGCAGTGACTATATGATAGCAATGGAATAGGTCTCAACATAGAAAAATAGTTTTAGTTCTCTGTCCAGGCTTGTTTGTTTGCGTTGATAATAAAAACATTACTTCTTCTATAGTGTGCTTGTATTTTTATTTATACGCTTCACTGTTTCAGTAGTTTCACATATTTTATCACACAAAAATGACTCAAGGGTTTTATCTTGACCTCACACTATTTTTGTTAGGCGATTATTTTTAATAAACTATACTATTTAATTTAACTTTTGTGTATTAAAACCGAAGAAGAACTGAATTGTTCGATAATTGCCGCTTAACCCTCCTTTTTTTTTTGACAGATTTAGATTCTTGATCCCCAAAATGAGAAGTAGTTGAAATGTTGGAAAAATGAATCCAAAAATTTAGATGGATGGCTAAAGTATTGGGAGGTTTTTGGCCTTCGAATCTTGGGTTACACTCTCGAATCTCAAGGATTCAGTTCTAGCGTGTGAAAACTCCAAGTATTAGATTAAACGTAGTTTTCATATTTATTTTATTTATATTTGTTTTATTTATATTTATTTTATTTACATTTATTTTATTTACATTTATTTTATTTATACTTATTTTATTTATATTTATTTTATTTATATTTAATTTATTTATATTTATTTTTTATTTATTTATTTATTATTTTTATTATATTTTTTTTACTACTTATTTGTTTATTTATTATTTTTATTATATTTTTTTTTTACTACTTATTTGTTTATTTATATATTTCTTATTTATGCATTTATTCCTTTTATATATTTATTTATTTTCTACACCGAGCATTAAATTAAAATTTGTTCATTTTTTTTGCTTCTTTTTTTAGTTTATTTTATTTATTTGCTTATTTATTTTATTATTTTTGTTTCATTTTATTATTTCTATTTTATTTTACATTATTTTTGTGTTTTTTATTTATTTACTTATTTTGAAAGCGTTGAACGTATTTGCATGCTTTATCTAAATAACCCCCCCCCCTTTTTTTTTTCTTCTTTTTTTCCTACTGGTTTGGATTCTTGATCTTCAAAATATGAAGTAACTAGAATCTTGGAAATATGATTCCAATAGTTAAGGCAGGAGGCTAAACCATTGAGAGGTTTCAGGTTTTCGAACCTTGCAAGGATTTCGAACATCTTTTGTAACCCATGGGTTACAAAAGATGTTCGTTTTTATTTCATTTATTTTATTTTATTTATTTAATTTTACTTGTTTTTTATTTTTTTAATTTCATTTTTTTGTCATCTGTATGTTTTAAAACATATTAAATTTAAATACTATTTCATCTTAAGAGAGTTCTCGCTGTATTATTAAAGTTTAAAAATAACTTATTGGCTTCCATTTCCAAAAGCAACAGATTTCATTAATTTAATATATTTAAAAAAAAAAAACAGAAATAAACAATCTATTTCATAGTTCGAAAAAACGAGAGATAAAGACTCGAAGTACATCACAAAATGACGCAACTGGGAATCCGCCAAAGTTTTCTCTTGACGCATCTAGATATTTCTAAACTGATTGCATCATCGTATTTCCACACAACACTTGCTTATTGCTGATGATAAATCACTTTCTCCTATTGGTCAATTACTTGAAAAGTAGAGTGTGCAAACAAGATCCTACTGGTGAATGAACCAATTCGTGCTCAAAATTTGCACACGACACTCTCTTTAATCGTGTGCAATGTTGCACTCATCACCCCCACCTTATGAGCACAGTTCTTTTTTGACTAATATAAAAGAAAGGGGGTGGAGCATCACCAGTTAATTAGGTTTGATAATCTGCTATTGTTTGAACCAATTTTAGGAGTCTTTGAGTGATTCATTTTGAAGTCGTAACCTGCAAAGCTTCGTTATTTGGTAAGGTGTTCCTCTTTTTTTTTTTAGTTTGTGAATGTAATGTCGTTTAAAAAAATAATCGCTTTCTTATCAAAAAAATTTAAATGATACTAAAATATTAAAATTTTTTTGTTTATAGCAATTTTATTAAGTAATTCTTGAATTTTTTTTTTTAATAGATCATAGACCGAAAAATTGTTTCGTGTATTGCATATGATTATTATTATTATTATTTTTTTTTTCGTGTCTTGATTTCTGTGCTGTTTTGACAAACGTAGTAAGATAAGTGCAATGCTACGAGGGAAAATATTTTCGGTATCGTATACTTTGATACTATTATCGTATATTTTGATTGAAAATATGTCTGGTTTAGTGTAAAAGTGATAAAAAAATTTCTACTTAAACCAACAGTATGAATTGAAGAAGTGAAGACTTTAAAATATAAGCAAATAAAATACAAATAAACTATGGAGCTCTACCGATAATTAAAATTTATTTATTTGTCATTTTGCTGATTTATTTTTTTTTTACTTATTTATTTTATTTTATTTCTATTTTTTTTTTTTCCTTACTTAATATTTTGTCAATTCTTTGTAAAAGAAGCTAAATTCCAATAAGATCAGGGAAATAGTTTTTGAAAATCGTATCTGAAGAGCGTATACTTTTTTCAAAAATGTTTCGGAAAGCTTATAATCAAAGACTAAATTTTCGAAAGTTTTAGTCCTAAGTTTTATGTTATATATTGTTTTTTCATATCTTAAAATTTTACAGGATTTTTAATATATGTATTAAAAATTTACTATAGAACTATATTTAGTGGTTACACAAGTAACCCTTAAATATAGTTCATAACAATTCAGTTATTTGCTAGTCACAGAACATTGTTTTTAACTTAATGCTCCAAGAACGTATGCGTTTTATATAAGGCGCCATCTGTCGACCTTTTACGAAACAAATAGTATTACTCACAGTAAAAACTCGATGATTTAAATTCATTGTTACTGATAAACAATTCTCAAAAATATAATAGCAAGAAATAATAAAATTGTCACTTATTTAACTGTCTAAATAGTTTTATAATGTTCGTCGAAATATTATATATAACTTTTTTATTTATAAATGTTATGCACATTTGTATTGAACAATCTATCAAGCTCTATAGAGTAAACTGATTTAAATAAGAAGGCATTTGAAGTTACACGTCGTTTATATGTAATGTGTTTTGCATTATTTATAAACGTGAATTTTTGACACGAAATTAATTTATTAATTTATTTTTTCCTTCAGTTTTCCTTTTTTCTTAATGATATAAATAAATAATAATTTATTTTTTTAATATATTTTTTATGTTTAAAAAAATATTCTCCCTTTTTGGACGCTATTGGCAATAACAACCCCATTTTAATCATTTAAGTTCCAAATTTTAAGATCGTATTTCTTGTATTTGTTGATAGAAATTTCATCCATTTAATAATAATATTGTTTCAGCTGCACTTTTACAAAATAACGATTTGAAATATTTCGTTTTTACTATTTTCTTTTAGTTCTCTTTCTCAGATCATCAAAGATAAATCGAATAAATATAAATCTAATGTAAATAGATCATAAGGCTTTTCCCTTAAGTATTAACTGTTTCATATCTTAATTGGCATTCAGGTTTTTCACTTTTTTTAAATAGTTAAACTATTTCAACTCTTCATTCTGCCAATAGAACTGAAGCTACAGATTTGTTAAATAGTTGAAATGTATAAAACAAAACAACTGCAATTCAATGTAAATAATAATCATTAAACTTTTTGAAGCATATTTAAAGATGTAATCACATTAATCTAGTTACTCTCTTTAATCTAGTTACTCTCTTTAATAATTAAAATAAGAACCATATTTTTTTTCATTTTCATTTATTTATTTATTTTGGATAATTTTAAGAAAGGAAAAATGGAAACAAATATTTAACTTTAATTTCGTGGCAATTTTTTTTTTCTTAATCATGTTATGAGAAAACAATAATTAACATTTGCTTCTAAATTTCAAGTGGCGTACCTACTACTTTTAAATAGTAGTTTCGATATTTCTAAACTATTCATGAGTTAAAATAAACTTAATAATATTTTAGAAACCTTCTAAATTTTTGTATTTAAATGGCTAAAATTATTTGCACTATTTGCAATATTTTATTTATATAATTCAAATTATGCAAAATTAAATTTATCGTTATTTTTAAAATAACTCACTAATGCTTTTTATGGAATAGTTAACTTTTTTCTGAGCCAAAATCATTTTTTACAATTTTTCTTCTCTCATTTAAGTTATACAGTTATTCTAAAATATATATTTCAGTAATTTGAGAACTTTTTTGTTATCATGAAAAATAAAAATTAATCAACCTTAAACCTTATTAATAAACCTTTAAAAGATAAAAATTTACTTTTTTCATGATCGAAATATATTGTTTTATCTGAATTATCGAAGCAGTGTTGCCTTATTATTTTCTTATTTATAATTTTACCTTAAACTACAGTGACACATCAATTTTATGTTATCTGTTTACAATTGTATACCGACATTGTTCTTTTTGGGTTATCAAAAGTGATAAGCAATGCTTTTTCTCATTACGTCAGATTCAGATAAACATATTCTATGCTAAATTTAGATGGGATACACTGTTATTCAAATTATTGCTTTTTTCTTACTTAAATTCTCTCTTAAAATAAATGCATTTAGAATGACAGAAGGCATAGTAGTTTACAAGTAATACATTGTCTTTTCAAGTTTACGTAGGGTGTGTTCTATTTGGAAAAGAAAATTGACGATGTCAAATAAAACATTATTTTAGCTCTATTTTATGTTTAAAAATAAAATAGAGCATGAGAAGGAAAAGTTGAAGACTAATTAAAATAAATTAAAATTAGTATTTAAAAATAAAACGCAATTCCATCAAATTTAAAATTAAATTATTTAATAAATTAATTAGACATACTCTTTGAAAGAATTAATTTTTCATCATTTGATTTAAGAACGATTTATTTTATATCCGGACAGGATAAAATTTCTAAAGCCTCTTAGAACCTGATAGAATTTCAAATTTAACAGATCATTAAACTATAGAATAGAATTCTTTCGAAATTTAAAATAAAACTGTCCTATAAATTGATATATCATATTTTTTAAAAAAAGAATTTTAGCACTATTTTTAATTTTCAAATAGAATTCAAGCTTGGGTAAAATTTTAAAGTTAATAAACTACTACCGAACTAAAATGATAGTTATAATTAAAACAGGAATAGAATTCAATCGAATTTAAAAATAAATTGTTGAAGAAATTAATGAATCGTACTCTTAGAGAGAATTAATTGTTCATTTGATTTTAGCACTATTTTTTAGTATTCAAAGTGGGCGAAATTCCTGATATATTTTTGAGCCTGAAGAGAATTTAAAAGTCAAAGAATAACTAAACAGAAGTTATGATTAAATTTATAACTAGAATAGAATAAATCAATGGCTAAAACTTAATTGTTTAATAAATGAATGAAACTTATTCTTATTTGGAATAAATAGTTTATTTGTGTAGAGCGTTTTTTTTTTCTTTTCATATTCAAACTCGATGAAATTTTGAAAGTGTCTTAGAGGACGAACTTTTTAAATTTAATTGATAATAATATTTAAAATTAAAATACAGTTTAAGTTAAATTTAAAGTATTGATACGATTTGAAGATATACGAATGAAGAAATACTTTTGAAAAACTATTAATTCATACAATTTGAGGATATTCATACACTATTTGAGGATATATACTATAGGGGATATATACTCTTGAAAAAATATACCATTAGAGAGAATTGATTGTTAATTTTTTTCTATCGCTCTAATTTCAACTCAAATTAGATGAAGTTTCGCCCTAAAGGGAAACCTCACCACTACTGCTTCTTATGCCTGGAATCACGTTTATTTCTCAATGTATAGAACAGATGGTAGTACAAGACAATAGAGATAGTTTATTTTAAACTAGATGTCAGCACTAATCAAACATGCATTTTTGCGATTAACCCAAAAATTAGGAATGAATACATACATTGTACTAGCACTTAGTTTTATGTAAATTTCTGGAGAAAAAAAATTGCAGTTTTGATCATTTTCTACAAATTTATGTGACCATTAAGGAGTTAACTGGCGCAATCCAAAATTAATAGTAGGAAATGTTGGTGCGAAGTTTAAACAATTTTTTTGCTGGACGATGCGGAAAAATAATTGACTGTACATATTTTCTACCCTCAAAATAGTTGTCGCACGAAAATCTTATATTAAATACTACATTTATCCTAATTAAGCAAGAATATATTTAAATAATCCTAAAACGTTATTTTAAAGCATTATTTTCATTATTTAATATTTAGATACAAAATTAATATTTCTTTCGTTTTAAACATAATGGGAGACTAAAAACCCATGTTTAAGTTGAATATAAGTAATTTTCTTCATATTATTACCTATCATCTCTTTAAATATATCTAGTTCAAATTAATTAAAACATAATTTTTATTTCAAATATATGCATGCACTTGTTTTTGTGGTTTCGACAGTTATTATATTTAACACTTCCTTTCATTGTGTACTTTAATTAAGAGATAAAAATTACCCTAAGTCATTTCAAAACTTGATTCTCATGTGTTCATTTCAGAGGGGAAAAAAACTATCATGGAATCAAAGGAAGTTCAGAAAAATGAATGCTGCTGTAGTGGAGACTGCGAGAGTTGTATCTCTCAATGCTGTAAAAGTAACACCTGTACATGCGAGAAAGTCTGTCCCTGTTGCAGATGTTGTCAAATATCAAAGAGCAGTGATGACATATGTAAGTGCTGTGAAGAAAATCTGTGCAAAAACAAAGCTACTTCTGAAAAATATTGTGAATGCTGCGGAAACCAAGCGGACAAAAACTCTAAGGATTTTGTTTGCGTAGCTATCTGCCAAAAGAATGTTTGCAAAGCTGTATGCGTACCTGGAGATTCTCGTAAGAGCTATGGCACAAGATCTTGCATAGACAAAACTTCCTGCGTCTGCGGAGATTCCTGTCAATGCTGTAGTACAAATACCTGCAAAGCTGAAACTGTCTGCGTCTGTGGAGATTCCTGCAAATGCTGCAATGAAAATAACTGCAAGGTCAAAGCTGTCTGCATCTGTGGAGATTCTTGCAAATGTAGTGGTGCAGAAACTTGCAGAGCCCAAACTGCCTGTGTATGTGGAGATTCCTGTCAATGTTGTGGTGAAAATACCACTAAAGCTCAAACTGCATGTGTCTGTAGAGACTCCTGCCAATGTTGTTGCGCAAGTCCCTGCAAAGTCAAAACTCTCCGCGTCTGTGTAAATCCTCGCCAATGCTGTGGTGAAAAGACCTGTAAAGCCCAAACTGCCTGCGACTGTGGAGATTCCTGTCAATGCTGCAATGAAAATAGCTGTAAAGCCAAAAGTGCCTGCGTCTGTGGAGAATCCTGTCAATGCTGTAGTGCAAGTCCCAGCAAAGTCAAAACTCTCTGCGTCTGTGTAAATCCTTGCCATTGCTGTGGTGAAAGGACCTGTGAAGCCAAAACTGCCTGCGTCTGTGAAGATTCCTGCCAATGCTGCAATGAAAATAACTGTAAAGCCAAACGTGCCTGCGTCTGTGGAGATTCCTGTCAATGCTGCAATGAAAATAACTGTGAGGTCAAAACTGTTTGCATCTGTGGAGATTCCTGCAAATGTAGTGGTGGAAAAGCCTGCAGAGCCCAAACTGCCTGTGTATGTGGAGATTCCTGTCAATGCTGTAGTGAAAAGACCTGTAAAGCCCAAACTGCATGTGTCTGTGGAGACTCCTGCCAATGTTGTTGTGCAAATAAGTGCAAAGCTAAAACTGTTTGCGTTTGTGGAGATTCCTGTCAGTGCTGTAGTGCAAGTCCCTGCAAAGTCAAAACTCTCTGTATTTGTGTAAATCCTTGCCAATGCTGTGGTGAAAAGACCTGTGAAGCCAAAACTGCCTGCGTCTGTGAAGACTCCTGCCAATGCTGCAATGAAAATAACTGTGAGGTCAAAACTGTTTGCATCTGTGGAGATTCCTGCAAATGTAGTGGTGGAAAAGCCTGCAGAGCCCAAACTGCCTGTGAATGTGGAGATTCCTGTCAATGCTGTAGTGAAAAGACCTGTAAAGCCCAAACTGCATGTGTCTGTGGAGACTCCTGCCAATGTTGTTGTGCAAATAACTGCAAAGCTAAAACTGTTTGCGTTTGTGGTGATTCCTGTCAATGCTGTAGTGCAAGTCCCTGCAAAGTCAAAACTTTCTGCGTCTGTGTAAATCCTTGCCAATGCTGTTTTGAAAAGACCTGTGAAGTCCAAACTGCCTGCGTCTGTGGAGATTCTTGTCAGTGCTGCAATGAAAATGTCTGCAAGAATAAGACTGTTTGCAACTGTGGAGATTCCTGTCAATGCTGCAATGAAAATAAATGCAAAACCAAAAGTGCCTGCGTCAGTGGAGATTCCTGTCAATGCTGCAATGAAAATAACTGTGAGGTCAAAACTGTTTGCATCTGTGGAGATTCTTGCAAATGTAGTGGTGCAAAAGCCTGCAAAGCCCAAACGGCCTGTGTATGTGGCGATTCCTGCCAATGCTGTGGTGAAAATACCTGTAAAGCTCAAACTGCATGTGTCTTTGGAGACTCCTGTCAATGCTGCAGTGCAAATCCTTGCAAAGTCAAAGCTCTCTGTGTCTGTGTAAATCCTTGCCAATGCTGTGGTAAAAAGGCCTGTAAAGCCCAAACTGCCTGCGTCTGTGGAGATTCCTGCCAATGCTGTAGTACAAATACCTGCAACGCTAGGACTGCCTATGTCTGTGGAAATTCCTGCCAATGCTGCAATGAAAATAACTGTAAAGCCAAAAGTGCCTGCGTCAGTGGAGATTCCTGTCAATGCTGCAAGGAAAATAACTGTGAGGTCAAAACTGTTTGCATCTGTGGAGATTCCTGCAAATGTAGTGGTGCAAAAGCCTTCAAAGCCCAAACTGCCTGTGTATGTGGAGATTCTTGTCAATGCTGTGGTGAAAATACCTGTAAAGCTCAAACTGCATGTGTCTGTGTAAATTCCTGCCAATGCTGTAGTGAAAATACCTGCAAAGCCAAATCTGCCTGCACCCGTGGAAATTCCCGTCAATGCTGCAATGAAAATATTTGCATGATTAAGACAGTTTGCAACTGTGGAGATTCCTGTCAATGCTGCAATGAAAATAAATGCAAAGTCAAAACTGTTTGCGTCTGTGGAGATTCCAGCCAATGCTGCAATGAAAATAACGGCAAAGCTAAAATTGCCTGCGTATGTGGAGTTTTCTGTCAATGCTGTGATGAAAATAACTGCAAGGCCAAAAATGATTGCGTCAGTGGATGTTCTTGCCAATGTTGTGGTTTGAATACTTGCAAAGCTGAAACTGCCTGAATATGTGGAGATTCCTGCCAGTGCCAATCAACAAACAAAAAATTGCGTGCTTTTGCGGAGACTGCTGCATGTTCTTCTTCATTTCTTTAATTTTTAAATTTCAATTTGTTTGAAAATAATTGAGAATAATTGTGAATGAGAGTAAATGAGAATAATTGTACTGAGAGTAGTTAAAATTATGAATTATGTTTTTATGACTCATCTTGTTGAAATTATAAAATTTATTTATATTTAATGCTGCATGAAGTTTGCAATTTCATGGAAAAATAATTTGAAAACTAGCTTTGATGCTTTAAATACTTAAATTATTCTATTGTAAGCTGTGTAATGTAGTTTTGTATGAATTAATAAACATTTAATCCGAAAAAATGTTTTTGTCTTTTTTTTTCAACAATTGCAAACAAATAGATAAGTGTTGATTATGCTACGGTACTTGAACGTTTTTCACTAATTTGTAAAAAGTGTGTGAGTTAAAGACAATTACTCATCCTACTCTTCCTATAAATTTGAAGTATAAAAAAACTGTACATTTTATAAGACATTTTGAAAATGAATAAATTAATTTGTAAAACTGGTTAATTCGTTTATTCCGATAAATTCATAAAATTTGGGGTTTTTTGGCACTTGTGGGAGCTTTGTGAGTTTTCAGAATGTGGTTTCTTAACTTTAATTCGTCTAGTGAAATTGGAAGAAGTAGACGGAAAATGTTCTCCATGCACTATAATCAAACTTATCTTGAATAAAGGATCGACAGGTCTTAACAGATAGTTCATTATTCTGAAATTGCACGTTTCCTAGAACAAGTTATAAGCACTTTTGAAGTTTAATAAACGAATTTTTGGTATGGTAAAAGTTATATGTTATTTTCTCTCTATACTTAAAAAAATTGCAAGAATACTGCCTCAGCTGTATAGGGTGTTTCGCTTTACGTTACATTTTGTTTTGAGGCGGAAAATCCATAAGACTTAGAAAGTTGAATCTACGAAAGCGTGTGTAGAAAAATGTGCAGGGCATACAATTGAATAAAAAAATTAACATTTGATAAGGACTGTTAAACTGGTAGATAAAAACTTCTATGCGGGTCGCTATGAAGATTGCTGAAATGAACTGTAAATTTTCAATTTTACGTGTTGTAAGAACCATTCTTATTTATGAACATATTACGAGTTCTAATTCTTTTCAAAATTTCATTTTGTTTGATTCTTGCAATTTAAAGTGCCTTTTTAGAGAATTTTTCTAAATTTTTTATGTTTTGCAGGACGTGACGTTACACTATATGACTTAACTTAAAATTAGAATGGCGTCTAGATAAATTTGCAACAATTTTTTTTCATTGTTATTTTCAGAATTATTTACTAGCAAACTTGCAACAAAAATACCACTAAAGCTGTTCTGTAGACAACAGGAGTGCAACAATAAAGTTGAAATTTGACGTGCTTATGAGGCCGCTTTTACATATGAACTTAACATGATTTTTTACCAATTGATTCGAGAGATGTTGCAATTTTAGCTGATTTTTCACGAATCTTTTCTCAGTCCTTGTGTTACAAATAATGATTATTTACCAGTTATTGTTGGAAAACTTGTTAAATCTCTCTTCGAGCTTACGCTTGGATAGATGTCGAAATTTACGAGAGAGGGAGATTAGAAATTGCTAAATATAAATCTTAGCATTCATATTGATTATTTTTAAGTTTAAAAGCTAAAAAATGTAAGAAAAGTATAAAAAAGTAAAAAAATGCTTCCTATTTGAGCTGTTTTAATGATATAAACAATTCTTATGCGATTAAAATTATTTTTCTTTATTTCTTCTCTTTGAATTACATAATCTGTATTCTTGTAAGCTTTTTTTTCAAGTATCTTTGATTATTTTTCTAATCCTGGTAATCATTTATTTCGTCGCGATTAACATACATTAAAAATAAAGGTTTTCACACAAAATTTTAATAATTACATATTTGTTAACGAAATGATATTTGTTTTGTGAAACAATGCGGATTTTAACAAACAAAATTATTAATGTGAGAAAAACAATGATAATGAGGGTATGGGTGATTCAAGCTACCGTGGGATAGAGCATCCTAGTATTGTATATTTCTCTTTTTTACATATATCTTGCGTTTTTTTTCTCTATGTTAATACATTTAAAACTCTCACAAATTTTAATTATTTTAATTTAGTTTCAAGAACATTATTTTTATTTAATAAAAGAAAAAAAACATTAACTTTGCAGTAGCTTAGAAATATTGTACTTGTAAATATTATTGATTTGAAGTTGATTTCTGAATCGACTTCGTTTGAACACAATGAAGTCTAATTTATTCATCTGAAAAATTTATTTTTAATTTGATAAACTCGTAATGGAATCACCAAGCAATGATTTTAGTTGCTCGATGTCTCTTATTTTGAATCCTTTTTTTTTCTTCCCTACCCTTTTTTATTTTTATCGCAAACTGTTCCTTCAAAATTCAATTTGTTCTCCTTTTACGGTTCTTCTCATGTCATATATTCTTATTCCTCCAAATTTATCTTTTAAGTTCATACAACTAATCATGATTTGCTTTCATCTCATACAAGTTGCTTCATTTTGATATCATGACAAAGTAATCTACATGAGATTTTAAAAACATCTACATAAAATGATAATGATCTGAATCTATCTTCTGCAAGTTGGGGCAATATTTTATCATAAGGAAATATATATATGCAGGATGAGGGAAAGAACTGCCTGTCATCCCTTCCACTGCTGCCATGATTCCAGCGTCACAACTTCCCCGCCTCACCATCATCACAACTTTCTCCCGCTCCACCCGCTCATGATTCAGTTTTTTGATTATTGCTGAACAGTGAACTGCATAGCCCAGACGGAGCTGATGTTTATGATAAGAAGGCAGAGGGCCCAATTTTTTGAACTTTTAGAATTTTTGTTAACTATTCATATTTAATCATATATGTAAAATTCATCTTATTATTAAATATTTCTTTCATTGAAAAAACTGTTCGTTCCTCCAAAACACCGCATATATATTTCTTTTTCAGATAAATAGGTGTATTTTTATGAATGCATAAACTGTCTAAAATATTGATCTGAGTATATGTTTTTTATTTTCTAAAAAATATCTTTGACACGGTCTAGGTAAGAATTTCCAGTGTATGAAATATTATTTCCAAACTACAAGCCAGACTAAATTTTATGTCCACCACTATTTTCACAAAATATATAAAAAGTTTCAAAATGGTAACGTATGTAATATAAAGAACTTTTTGGTAACCAAAACCATAAAAGAATTAGAAAAAAAAAATTTAAAAGTACATTGCTGAAAAGAACAACAACACTGATGTTAGTTTATAAAATGTTTAAATGGTTCCAATGTAATCTACATATTATTAAACGTCCTAAAATTACAAAAAATAAATCAGAAAATAAAGCACCAAGAAATTCCCCCATGAAAAAGTGGATGTTGAGTTAGCAGATTAGACAAAATTCAAATTTATGCTCTTTTCACATATATTGACTCAGATGCTGATGGAGAAGTTCAACAGGGAGGAATGCTCCGTGAAATTCCTGAATATGCTTCAGATTATAAAATTTTTGTGGTATTCCCTCTGTGATTACATCTTCTATGAGAGAGGCTTCAGCTATCATAACGGAACAAACAATATAAAGTTTGCAGAAACTCTATGAAGACTGAGGCTCTTATTGATTTGCTCTAAATTTCTATATATTGACCTCCCAACAGAATTTTATGCTAGGTCTAAAATTAACCTGTGGTATTTTAGCGTCAAAGAGCAACAAATATTTCAAACGTACGCTGCTAAAAGTATTAAGAGATTTACGTTTAAATACACGACTCTCCCTATCTTAATTTAAATTAATTAAATTTTCAAAGGCCAAAAACAGGCATTAAAACATGCAACAATGTTAACGTAGCTTTTGATAAAGATTGCAATCCTTCTGTGATATTCAACTTCGTATATTTAATTAATCCCTCCGAAAGTCTGAACGTATTGTTACCCCTAAGGCAAAACTTACAAGCCAACTTTACCAATGAAGTCACCAATGAAGAGCTGGCAAGTGGCAAGTATAAATTTCATGCCCCACACTTAATTATTAAAAAATCAAGTTTTAATGGCGATATTTGAGATAGAATTTATTTTTCTTAGATGGAGAGAAATAAAAATATTTATGTATCCTCATTTAAAACATAACAGAGGAACAATTAATACATATTGTTATTGAATAGTGTAAAGTAACAAACGTAAAATTAAGTAACCTGCTAAATCATCAAAAGTATTACAAATCATGTAAATTGTACTGGATGACAATTTAGGTGAATGACCTGGGAGAAGAATTTATAAAATCAATTTGCAATACAATTTGTCAGCTATCCCAAAGCACGTATAATGCAAAATTTGTGTATTTGGGATTAATAAAAATTATACACAAAAAATGTATAGTATTGTTCGATTTTTTTTTCGAAAAAAATTTTCGTAAATGTAATGCAGATTAAAACCAAGTAAATTACTTTTTTTCTTAAAATAAAAAAAATAAATAAAAATAATTCGGAATGTTTTTTTTTCTTCCTGTCTAATTTTTTTATTCAATTTTAATTGACGAAAATATTTTTGAAAATCAATTTTCTGTAACTAAAATAAATATAGATTGCTTTTTAATTTCATTTTACTAAGCAGTTTAAGAAAATTTTTGTTTATGTAAAGGACATAATTCCAATTTGAAGCTGTTAGGAAGTTAAAATTTTTGAGGCAGATTTCAAAATGGAAAAATTGTCCCTTATCTTTAATCAAGGTGGGAGGAAATTCTTTTTTCCTTCTTCGTTTTTTATTTTTCTCCTACTTCCCTCCAGCAATTTCTTATCCGTTTTCCTCTTTTTCCATTTAACTTTAGATGATAATATGGAGCCCCTGCTGCGTACTGTAGTGGACTGGTTGCTAAGACACGGTTCCCAGCAGATCACCGAAGTCAAGCCAAAGAATATAGAGGGGATATCTCTCTATATTCATTGGTCAAGCATCACTGGCTGCTGTCAGTGTGCGCGTGGGTGACCACTTGGATTAGTCTACGTAGGAACCGAGGTTGTGCGGTATTGATCCTCGTTAACCTGTTCTACCGTAAAGTGCTCGACTTCGCGTGCAGGTCGTCGGGTTACCGAAACGGGGTGCCATCCCCTTTGCAAAGGATCAAAATTATGATGGCATGTCTTCGGATCATTCTCGGGGATGTTTCCCAGACCGTCACCAATAGCCCATTGTGCAGCTCTAGTGCGACGTAGATGAACTGCAACTACAACAACAGCAGCGCCTGCTGCTGTGGTAGAAAGTTTCTGGTACCCGGGTAAGAAGTAAAGGAAATCAGCTAATAGGACTGAACATTCACACTGCATGCAAATAATTCGTGCATGGGAATTCGGAGATGTAATTGTGAACCTGATCGGAACTGCGTAAATTGCATGCATTGAGAATGGCCAATTTTTTTTGTACTATTTGTTGCAACTGCAGCGCTCTCTATTTAGTACTTTTAAATAAGTATTTGGCAACGGTAGCTTTTCGAAACAACTTCAATTTTTTGTTTATTTATTTTCCGGGAGTGAGTAGACCGGAGATTATATTCTTATCTTATTGATTTAGCTTTTTTTCCTCTTAAGTTTTCAAGACAAAATTTCCTGACTATCTCTTCTGTAAAGCTTTCAAAAATGATTAATACTGGGTATGAAGATTTACTCTTTCGTCTAATTATAATTGCAATTTTTTATATGGAAATGAGGAAATGTATCCTTATTTCATCAAACAAAACTAGTTCGTAGTTTTAGAAGAAATTATGAAAAGTCTATAAAAGTTGTGAACTAATAATAAAAAGCGCCTTTTTGTCAGATGCCAAATTTCTACTAAATATTATTAGTAAAATCTAATGAAAAAAAAATTTTTTTTTTCCTCTATGTTTCAATGTATTTTATATTCAATGTTTGTGATTTACAATGTATCGAAATTTTAATTTTCAATCTTGACATTTCAGAAAATTAGCTGGCAAAACAATATTCATCACTGGAGGTAGTCGTGGAATAGGAAAAGCCATTGGTTTGAAAGCAGCCAGTGATGGAGCGAATGTTGTGATTGCTGCTAAAACTGCTACAGCACATCCTAAGTTACCAGGCACGATATATACTGCTGCAAAAGAAAGTAAGTTGCAACTTTCCTTATTTAATAAAAATCTGTGTTTTAATTTTTTTAATATTTCTGTACACGTAGCAAAACCCTATTTCTTGGTTGAGTAAACTATTCCCCTTTTTTAAGTTTTTTGAAAATTAATTTTAGATTAATTGATACTTTATTAGGGGCTATAAAAATGCACTATCACAGTACCCATTTTAGTATATTTGTTGTCTATTAATACAATATTACTAGCACCGATTATCATTATTAATTAAGCAGTATCAATAAATGTTTACGTCCTGAATTGTGATTCTCTTAATTGGATGTTAATATGAAGAACACATTTAAAAAATAATAAATTGTTTTCTTTATGTGTTAAGTAAGTCTTAGGGCAAAATTTGATGATAAAATGCTGTTATGCCGTTTTTGTTATGAATAACAGGGCAGATGCTAGTTCTTGAGCTTTGGAAAGCTTGTAGTTTAAAATGCCGAAAAACTCGAGACTAAACACTCAGGAGGTTAAATGTTTTCTAAGTTAGTAAATGAGAAATTAAATTTACAGTGTCAGTTTTGTTTACGCATAATTTTTTCTGCTAGCTTGCCTCAAATTTATCTATTTGAAGATCTCTCATAACTTTTATTTGCTTTATGATTTTAATCGGAAATAGCATATCATCTCTAAGATTACGAAAAGCCATAGCTATTCATCAATTTTAAATATAATTTTATTGTTAATTTATTTTAGTAATGAAAAAGACTAATGAGATATCTAATAGATTTAAAGCGTTTTGAACCATAAATAATCTTTTTTTAATGGTTGGATATTTTATCTGATATTTATCTGATATTTATTAATATATAAATATCATAATATACATATTCTAGCCAACCATGCTCAAAGTGTTCCAGAATTTGTTTGAAAAATTTAAAACGTAATAAGAGTTGGGAAGAAAATGAAAACATTACATAGAATATGGGATCAGTCGTAAATTAAGTTGAGGGTTAAAATTAGAAAGTCCATTTAGGTTTCAAAATTGCTTCAGAAAAAACTTGATATTTCTTTGATTAATTATTACTCGAGTTGCTTGAAGTTTAACCCTCTGACATAATTTCATAGTCCATGATTCATTGTCATGCTATTGGGTTACTGAAGCAACACTGACACTCCATACTATGAGATTTACCTCTAGATTCATAGAACACATGCACTGACCTCTTTTTAACATGGTAAGCGACTCCATATTCTATGATGTTTTTAAAGTTTGCACACTGTTTAATTGCCTCTGAATATGACATTTGAACTTTGAAACATCTTATATATATCAAATGTGTTTAGGTAAACAAACATTTTCTCTATAAAAGAGTTCCTGAAGTTTAAAAGTTAAAAAGAAATAATAATAATAACCTAAGCTTTATCATTTTGGGAGAAATTTCATCAATTTTGCTAGTTTTTGTATTAAAAGAATGGTGAATTTTTATTCTGGCCAGTTGATTTATAGAATGAACTACTTGTGCTCAAAGTTGGGAAGAAATTATATGAAAATTGTAAGTATATATTACAAATGGAAAACTTGGTTTCTCATAAAACTTAAGCATTTTGAGGTATATTTTAAGAATATACAATGTTTTACACATTCCTTTATTTATCAAAAAATTATTTTCTTGATTATTACTAATCAAGACAATGTTTACGCAAAGAAAGTAATGAAACATGTATAGTCTTCTCATCTAAAGAACTCCTCTCTTTAGTTGTCTGCAACATTGTCGGTTATAATGGTTTCGATTTCAAATAAGAGTAAAAGGCAAAAATTTAAGATAAAACTCAACAGGGATCGATGTGAGAAGTGTTTAAGGTCTATCACTCTAAAAAATATTTTATTTTATTTATCTTTTTGTTTCAATAGCAATAGACAACTCCAGAATTAGTTGCAGGAAGAGTTCTTTAGATAGATGGATTATAACCTCTTTCATGGAAAGTAATATTTTTTACTTTTCAGTTGAAGCTGTTGGTGGAAAGTGCCTTCCTTGCATTGTTGATGTCAGAGATGAGGAACAAGTACAAAATGCCGTTGATGCAGCTGTTAATAATTTTGGTGGCATAGATATTTTAGTAAATAATGCATCAGCTATTCATTTAACTGGTACAGAAGCTACACCAATGAAGCGTTATGATCTTATGCACAATATCAACACACGAGGAACATTCTTAGTGTATGTTTTATTATTATTGAAAATGTCTTTGTATTGTATTTATTGTTCATGTTTCATGCTGTTTATATTTTTTATCATTCCTTTTTGATTATCATGTTTCAATTTTTCATTGTTAAAAATTATTTTTGGGAAACTTTAATTGTAATTTGGCATTTAATGTACAGTGGATTCTTTTTTTCATTTCACCATTGATTATTTTCAACAGCTGGAAATTACATTGTTCTCCCAACAATTTTCTCATCCTTATAAATACTAAAATTTAATTTTCAAATTGAATTTTTCTTGTATATTTTGGTTTTTCTGAGAAAGATAGGAAATTAAAACCTTTCTTTGTTTCTTAAAGGTAATATTTTTAACTCTTTCCAGACTAATTTCAACTTTTTTTTATATGGAAAGTTTTTCTTTTGCTAGCAGTTTTTTTTACCATTAATAATATTAAAATTTGAAAAAAATAAAAAATATCCTGTCTCTCATTTTACAGTTAGGCTCTGTGACTTTGATGTCACATCAGTCTTTTTGAGTGAGACGTGTTGTGCCACCAGTGTCCAACAATAACAGATCATAATAAAATAATTAATTTTCAAAATAATGGAAATTATTATTCAAAACAAAGTAAGAGATTAAAAATAAGACTGTATATTTCCGAATATAAGCCCATCTGTGTATAAGCCACATAGTATATGTTTTTAATTTGGAAATTCACCCAAAATTTAGGCCGTTGTTAAAAGAAATAAGGCATGCTGCACTTGGAAATACACCTTCTCTTGTAGTTTTAGTAGATGTAGTAACTGTGGGTAAAAGAAGAAAGTATGGGTGAAGATCACTCTGGGAAAAAGAAGAAAGTATGGGTAAAGATCACTGTGGGCAAAAGAAGAAAGTATGGGTAAAGATCTCTGTGGGTAAAAAAAGCATGGATTTGTAGTTAGTTGAATAAAAAATAATATTATTCCTTTGTCCTTTTAATGTTTTATTTTTCAATTTTTATATTAAACATACTGCTTTCACTTTTATTTTATATCATGCATGTATGATTTGTTATACTGATTGTTGCTGATGCTTGACAAGACATTTCTGTTGGCGATGTCTTGGAACTTTTGATAATTGGTAGATCTGATTATAAATCAATTCGTGAGAAGCTGACACTGCCTCCTCCTACAAAAACATGAGAACACAGTCCAAGAGTTGGATAAACAGCACTTTCATATTTCTATGTGAAGAAGTTAGTATGTGACTCAGTCAGGCATGAAAGTTTGCAGTTTTTGTAAAATTTTCTAAAAATTCTTGTCTTATATTTGGAAATATATGGTACTTATGTTATTATACTCACCTTTTCTTAGCTTCATTTCTGTTATTTTCTTTACAAAATAATGCATGAATCTTCACAAACATCTCATTTCCGAAAAGCCAAGCTGCTATGACAGTTTTAGTGGTGCATACCATATATATTTGTATGCTGTATTCATAAAAAGTTATTGCAAATTTTTATCCTAAATTGAACAAACGTTGTTAGTTATTGCAGATTTTTTTCCTAAATTGAACGAACATTGTTTAAAATACTCTTGATGTGTATTATACTAGATCTTAAAAAATATGTAAAGTTTTTAAAGTGTTTTTATTTCTTTAAAAAATGTTTTTTATTACAGATCTAAGCTTTGTATACCACATTTGAAAAAATCATCAAATGCTCATATATTGAATATCAGTCCTCCATTGCTGATGGAATCCATCTGGTTTAAACGACATGTAGGTAAGAATCATTAAATCAATAATTTTTTCGCTAATGAAGCTAAATTACGTTTAAAAGCTTCATAACATGTAATATAAGCTAATATTAAAGTGCTTATCTCCATAAGGGGAAAATGATAGGAAAAAAACACCCTTTAATTTTAAAAAAGCAATCCACTCGTATTTGGAAAAGTAAGGCTGAAGTACATAAAAAAACTTCTGATTGTTGATGGTAAATTTCTTGTGTAATGTATTTTTTAAAAAAAATATTTCATAATAGTTAAATGTAAGACCTTTTTTTTATTAGGTAACAACAATTATTTTCAATTATTATAACAATTTAATAGTTATTAATCAATTTTTAAGCTGTTGCTTCTATATGTAGACACAATTGTTTTTCTTTTTTGGTAAATTTTGCTTTAATGGAATTTTTTATAAATTTGCGTTTAAATATCTCTATATGTTTTCAATAAATGTGGATTATTACATTGGTTTCAAAAAAGTACTCCTTGCTTAAATGCACTTTAGTAGTGTATGTACTGATACAAAAATATAATTCCACTTCACTGGGATAAAAGGCATGTTAATCGATTCTATGCTGAAAACCTTTTCATAGATGAGGCTTGACATTGTCTATAACTACACTACCCACATTGGTGACCTTCGGATGCAATGTGAACATGTCTACCTTGGCAGAAACGCTCACTACCATGTGAACAGTCTACTTCGATGGATGGCCACATTGAACAGTTGATTTGCTACTTGTGACTGTGACATTGTCCTCCTCATGCTGTTGCATCTCAGTCTCAATCACACACAACATACAATATATACACTCGACTGTTAAAGGCAATGCAGCAACGACTATGACCATGAACTTAATACAGCTCTCACAATCAGTACTCAAAAAGTGCAGTGATCTTAGTACAGCTCTCCCGGTTTCTCACAAAACTGCAATGAATCAACTAGTGGTATCGGTTCATTGAATTCTTTCACAGATATAATTCTGGTGGGAGAGTACTGTAGTGTATCTACCACTACAAAAATATAATTCCAAATCATTAGTATATAAGACAAGTTAACTCAATTCTATGGTAAGGTACCTTTTCATAGATGATGGTTGACATGGTCGATAACTACTCACTCCCCACAGAGAGACTTAAAGTTACTAGTAGAGTGTTTGCTGCCAAATGTTCTTGTAATTTTTTTTAACTACAAAAACATTCAAACATTGCCACTTAGTATCTTCATTTACAGGGATATGAAAATAAATGGTTATGGTAATAAAGTAATTATATGGTAATAAAGTTATGGTAAATAAAGTTTAATTTGCTTAACAATTTTCAAAATTGTTTCTTTGATCATTATTTCACTAAGTTCTTCATTTATATTGTATGATTTTTAATGAGCATGTTTAATTTAATAATCATGTTACTAATTTATAATTTAAAGACTTGATTTTTGTTTAGAAAACTGCTTTATTCTTTTTATCCTAGTTAGTTACGATTAAAATTTATATCTAGTTGTGTACAGAAATTGATGTGTTGGCATCCAGAGTCACGGCGCCACAACCATTTGAATGTTTCCAGCTGTAATAGTTTAGTTATAATGTGTGTGTATCACACGAAATGAGCATTGAACATTTAAAGTTTATTTCACTGCTTCCTTTTTTTTTTTTTTTTTTTTAAATTAAGATGTGCTTCTTGCATTGTTAAGAAAAAAGTAGTTATACAATTTATTTCTAGTGAAGATTTTTTTAATAACTGTTTCCCAGTATTTTCACGGATAAGTTTTTATTTTGAATTTCAGCTTATACTATGGCCAAGTATGGAATGTCTATGTGTGTCTTGGGAATGGCTGAAGAGTTAAAAGAAGACAACATTGCTGTAAATGCTTTATGGCCCAAAACAGGTAAATTTGTCTTCAAAGTGATGTATATTTGTTTCGAAAGATAAAAATTTGAAAATGCATATGAATATAAAAATATTAGGAATTTTATTTCACTTTGTACTTAGAAGTGTTTTTAATAATCCTCATTTAACAATTCTCTATTTTCTTTAACATGAGGTTTGATTATTTTCAGTTCACTTTTCCCTGTAATGCTTAGTGTAATTTTGATAACTTTTGTGTTTTTTGTTCGCTTGAATACTATTTTTATTTCTTACCTAATACCCCTAATGTGAATACTTTTTTATCAGAAGGATTCAAAAAATTTAGTGCTAAAGGCTGTTGATATGAAACAAGCAGAATATTTAGCAACAGGAAATTTTTCTAATTTATATCATAATTATAGGTTATAATCATTTTCCGGAATTTAACCATCCTCTTTATGAGTAAACATACAAGCAATAGTTTAAATTAAATTTCTCTTTCATTACCTTTCCATCAATACATAGTGATCTGCATTCTGGTGATAAACTATTTCAACTTTGAATAATCAAATTAGGTGGTCTCATTTAGATTTTAAACCACTTTTTCTTTTTATTAACATATATAATTATGATGGATTGTTTAATGATAAAAAATTATTTTTTTTGGTTGAATAAAGAAAAATATTGTGAAATTTTTTAAAAATATTATGTAAATTAATTTACAATTAAAGTGTTTATTCTATCTTGTCAATATTTCCACGGTACCTTATCTACTTATGAAATTAAAATGTATCTATGTATGCTTTGAATAAGTCTTTCAAAGCAGATCTAATAATAAATAATAATATTTAAAAAAAGTCTTTTCTAATGCATTATAATGATTTGTTTATTTTTTGACTGTTTAGATTTATAATGTTATCCGATTTTCATGAATATAATATTTGTTCCTATTTTTGAGACCAAATAAATGTCTATGTTATACTATAATACTCTCAGCTTTTTTTTAAAGAACCTATTTTTCTTCGTATGGTGTTATTATATTTTGTAATTTTTCTGATCGTTTATTTGTATTTTTTAAAGTTTTCATATAGTTGTTTTCTTGGTTAGCAATTTCATTATCTACCAGTCTTTTTTTAAACTAATAATTATTTTTTGCATTAAATATAAATTTTATATGAATTAGTTTTATTAGTTTTACCATTATTATGTTTTAGCATGATTATGTTTTGAATTATAATTGTAGACTCTGAGATGTGTTTCTAACAACTTGAATATTAAAATTTATTTCTGCAATTGCTACTGCAGCAATGAAATGCCACAGTGGCAATTGCTGTAAATTATTGAACATTTGCTGATTGCTTAGATTTGTTTTAAATCTTTATTTTAGTTATTTTTATAGTTAGTAATCAACCAATTACACTATCAACCAATATATACTTGCATGTTACTTTTATGTTTATATTAGTCCTTTCTTTGTACAGAGGGTACTATATCAAATCAACCAAAATAAATAAAAAAAATTTGACTAACAATTTCGATTTATATGATTTTTAATATGCTAATTAAACCTATTTCTGACATAAAAAGTACCAAGTTTCATATTTTTTGAACTTTTAGTTTTGCTGTTAAACTTTTTCAAAATTTTAAAAATGTACAAGTTTTTTAAAATTTCAAAAGTTTTAAACAATTGTGTTTTGAGAACTATTTGATTTAGTGAGCTAAATTTTTTCATTTTATAATTTTAATGGCATTTTATTAAATATGTAGCATGACTAAATTATTTTTAAAAAATAAACTTCAATTTTTTTGAATAAAATGGAGTTTATGTAATTATTCTATAACTATATTTGTGCTGTATGTAGTTGGTATTCTTTTAGGATCACAATAAAAAAAATTGTAGTTTAGCTTTGTAATATATATTGTAAGAATAATTTTTAATTTCACTGCTTTACTTCAGTTAACAAAAAAACTAAATTTGTCCAGATATGTAATTCATTTTGTGAAATATCTCAAATTTAGCAATTAATTATTTACTTCAAAAATTAATATATTTGTATAGAAAAGAAATATGTGAAAAAAATTTGTCCAATTAATTTTGGAAAAGGTGCTTTTTATTTCATTCTTTTTGCACAGCTCTTGTGCCTTACTTCATACTGATATTTATCAAATTATCATCAAAATTGTATCATATCAAAAAATAAATATACATTCTGTTCAACATACTTGTGAAATTGAATATAAAAAAAATATTCAAAAGCATGCTTATAATGTCTAGCTCTAATGCAGGCCCGAACAAGGTTGACTCAACTTTTTGTCCCTTTAGTGGATCAATAAATTAAGTACCAAACCTTTTTTAGGACCAAATACTGGGGGTTCTGCTTTTGCTGACCACTCAATTGGATCATCTGCTTCTGCACACCAGAGTCCAAGGGATGGGGAACAGTATTGGTTTTGACCCATCATGAGCTAATGCACCACTAAATTTCATTTTTCTTTTTTTTCATTTTAACTCGGGCATTTCTTTGTTTTATGCAACATTTATTTTGCTCCAACATCTCCTTTTTCAGAACATTGTATGTTTTTTCCTTTTATTGTATTAGATGCAATTTACTTAAAATAAAGTTCTTTGCAATGCTTAAAATATCTGATTTCTGTGGATAAGTAAAAGAAAGTAATGGTTTATTGATAAAGAAATTTTTTTTCCTTCTACATGGTCTTCTGAAAGGACATATGTCAGCCACCATTTATTGCCAGAGTCACTAGCAACAAACCCAGCAATTTCTTAAAGAGAAACATTTGCAATGTCAAAAATTATTTTAATTTAATGAGTTTCAGTAAAGTCCAAAATAGAATATGTTTTTATTTAGATTTGGTAGCTGTAGAGGGAAAATAATGCATTAAACTTTTGAGTGGCAACAACTTACACAGTTTTTACCAATCGTAATTTTAAAAACTTCTCTTCTTACATCAATTACTTCATTAGTCACATGAAAAAAGTAACAAAGGGTAGATTTTTTTTTGTTCTCCATTGACAAGGTGTTAAATCTTGTTTTCCAATGGAGTTTGAAGACTGGTGTTACTTAAAAATCTTTTTATGGTGCCAACTATACCATCACAAATCCATTTTTCAAAATTACTTACCACTCAAAACTTTATAGTATAATAAAAATTAATATATACATGAAAACTACTATCAGCCATTTTCATTATAAACTTTTGTAATTTTAAATTATATTTTGAAACCTTTTTTTTTTTTTTTTAAATCTTCCTCTTTTACATCTATTTATTGATTGTTTAATAAATGAATATTTTATTATGAGCTATTATGAGCTTTTTTTTGTCATTGTTCAACTACAAATTATTATGTTTTTATTATGATCCCAAAGAATTGCCATTTTGAAATTTCTATTAAAAGAGAGTCAAACAAATTATTTTTTTTTAGAAAGAGAAATATCTAAAAATTTTAATTTAAAGATTTTTAAAATGTAAAATTGAAATTTTTTTAAAATGATTTTTTAAAGTAATTTTATATTATATATTTTATAAAAGGTTGTTAAAAACTGAAGAAAATGTCATAAAGTTTAGCTCTTCAGTTAGTTTAAGATCAAATAGTTCTCAAATTGCAGCTACTTAAAAATTATTAAATTGTAAAAAAATAATTGTCAAAATTTCAAATTGTCAAAAAAAAAATCTTCAAAATTTCAAAAATTTATAACTTGTCTAATCTGCTAGTTCTATCTCTGTTTCAAAATTAAGCAAAATACTACATTTTGAGCAGCGTTTCCCAAACCTTTTTGATCGCAGCCAGTACGAGGTTTTAAAGTTTTTCGTGACCCAATTTATGAAAAACAAACATTTATTTGCAAAATGAATTTTATTTTTTTCATAAGAATCAAATTAATTGTTTATTTCATACACAAAAATTGCAAAATAATTATGTAAGAAAAATAGAAGTACAGTACAGAACCTGTTATCCAGAAATCAGAAAACCGGAAAACCAAAAAACCGGAACGAAGCTCGATAAATTTTCCCGCTATTTATTAAAGAAATCTTTTTTTTCCTCATAAGATTTTAGGATTTTTCTTTCTTTTTTGGAAGATGTTTACCTTACCATCATTTTGAAAATAATCATAAGTGTATTACTTCATCGTTTTTACTTTTTAAGATTATTTCCAAAATTTTTTTATAATTTTTTAGTTGGGTTTAACAATAAAAAAAATGGCTTTTTGTAGTGCTTCAGAAAACCTTTAAAATCAGTTATCCAGAATAGCGATGGTCCTGATCGTTCCAGATAATCGGTTCCCTACTGTATTTAAAAAATTAGCAATTCTATTCATTTAAAACATAAGTAAACTTTGTTTCCACATATTTTGTTCTTAGTGCGAAGGTTGATGTTTGTCATCACATAACAATTTCGAATTCGGAGTTACTGATGTTAATTTTATTCTCAAATTTAGTTTGTCATCCAATCTGTTTCGATATTCATTTTTTAACTACACCAAGGCTGAGAACAGGTATACTGTATTGCTTACGCTTGGATACTCTTTTTGACAGTACAATAAAAAATTAATTAGTGGTACAGTTTCAAACCCTTTTTCCAGATCCGTGTGAAATTATTAAATTTTCAACTTCTTATTTACTAAGATTAAACATTTCTTCCTTTTCAATTTTAACAGATGTTTAATTCACATATTATTTGAAGGAATATTTGGAAAGTAGTCTTTAAAACTGTTTATTAGTTCCTAAGCATGTTCTTGAATTGAAACAGCAATTTATCAGCTTCTTTTAACGTCTGTGAGTTTGCGGTGCACATACTAGAGATGACAATATTTTGAATGACGAAATTGCAGGCAAACGTGCACGGGTAGTCCACTATCCAGACAGCTGCTTTGCTTCTGATTAGTCCATTAATGTCCATTAATTGGTGAACTTTATGAATTTGTTTCTCAGCCAAATTTGTGTTCTGTTTTTGTTGAATAAAATAACCCCTCGGAACAAAATGAACTAGTTTAGAACTGCTTTAGCGACTTTGGCCCACAGATTAAAGCATGTGGAAAACAGGTAATGTGCATGCGTGGGAAGGAAAAGACCTAGCAACGTTAGCAACACAATGTGCCTTCGATAAAGCTATGCAAAAGATTACAATACACAAACGAATCATGGGTTAGAGTCCCCTTGCTGTCTGGTTTACCATGAGAGGTTTTGAGGTTTACCTCTCCATGTAACAAAGTGCAGGTTAATTTCAGCAAAAAGTCCTCCACGGAGACAAATGCTCGATCCAGGAGTTCCCTTGTATTCTGGATTGGTTTCAAAATTACAAGGCTGCGAAGTTGGACATTTGTAGTGGCTGGTTTGGCTGTTCAACGACGATTATAAATTGTTTGTACTGTCTAACTGATGTAAGAAAAATAATCTGTAATTTTTTTTTTTTTTTACAATTTTCTTTCATGACTTGGCAAAATGTTTCTACGACCGACCGACACTTTGGGAAACACTGATTTAGACCATTGGTTGATTTGATATGAAATCAGTCATACATATTACTCATTTTATCAATATATTTTTACTATGATAAAGTTTTGCATTATAGAAGCAGAAACAAAGGAATATTTTTATCAAATTGACTTTTGAAATGTATTTCAGCAATCGCTACTGCAGCAATGGAAATGCTTGGTGGAAAAGATATCACTAAGAACTGTAGAAAACCAGATGTTATGGCTGATGCTGCATATGCAGTGTTTATGAACAGAAACTCAGGTCAATTCCTAATTGATGAAGATGTTCTGAAATCCCAGGGAATTACTGATTTGGATCAATATGCAGTTGATCCAAGTAAGAATATTATATTTTTTAAGCATTTTAATTAAATTGGTGCTGTCAATTTATTATCAGCTCTTTGTGTAGGGTAAACTAACCAGTGAAGAAACACTTAAGCTTCGCTTGCCTTTTAAAAAATCATATTAATTTCAAAATTCATAATTTTAGTTAAATGACAGTGTAAACATATTTGTTACTAATTGCAAATTATGTAAAAAAAGTTGCAGAGAACTTACATAATATTGTTTTAAAGTTTTGGAGGTTCAAATAACAAGCAGTTAGAAGACCAAGTGAAGGAACAACCCTTACCAGTGAATGAACACCCAGTAAAAGAACACTTAATTTTAGTTATTTTTTAATGCTCTTTATGAATTTATAAGCCCTACAAATATTTAAAAACAAGCCTATTCTTGAAATTATAACATATAAATACTTGGAAAATGTTAACTTTTTGTTGTAATCATGAATTAAAAATTAAAGTGTCAACATATTAACACTTACTGTTCATTCACTGGGAAATCAATGCCCAGTAAAGGAACATGCCTGTTCTACTGGTTCGAAGTTGTTTTTCGTATTTTTAACATACTTTTGATGCAGAACATCACTAAAGATATATGGATATGGAAGATATATGGAAAATTAAAGTTTATCTTTTATTTTCATTAACTTAGAAAGAATCCAGTAAAGGAACACTTGTTCCTTCACTGGTTTTTCCTCGTTTGGTGATCCAGTGAATAAACACCTCCTTATCTCAGTACTTTATTATGCTATGATGCTTAAAAAATAAAACGTAACTCCAATAACTATATTTTGAATTCTCCTTTTCACAGTGAGAAAAATAAAACTATTATATGCAATTAATTCCACTTCAAACATATAAATACAAACACTCACCTTATAATTTTTTCAAAGAAAGAAGGTGTTGCAGAGATAATAACAAATTCCAAAATTTTTCCAGAAAAATCTATTTTACCAGGTAATCCAAAATATTGCTAGATGACTTTCTATTGTTTGGCAGTAAGTTAATGCTACCAATCAATCTAAAGAAAAACTTTCAAATTCTTATTTTTAATCAATATATATGAAATGTTCCTTCACTAGTTGGTTTACCCTAGTACCTGAAACAATTTATAATTTACTGAAAAAGAAACATCTTAGAAATAAATGTATCGCTCTTGAGCTTACTCTTTATCATTCTTGCTGGCTTAAGAATTTAAGTAATCTGCTAAAAAGAGCAAGGCTAGCCTCTTTTATTGTAAGAAGTTTGAAACTGTTTAAGTCTTTTAGTTTTTAAAACTTTTTTAATCCATTTGAATATATAGTATGCATACATATTTTTTTGTAATAATTTTTTTTTGTCTGTCTCTGCTATTGAGAAATAAGTTACAATTGCCTAAAATTTGCTATTAAGTGTAAATAAACAAAGTAAAATGAAGTTTTGATCAATTGTGTATCTTTAATGTATAATAGATATTAAATAAGACTGCCAATTCAAATTTGTAGTAACAATTTTCTGCACATGGAACCTTTTATTTATATATTGTACAGTAGTTTCCATTAAATATTTATTTTGTAAAATTTGCTCTATGTTTCTTCTTTTAAGTTAGCAGTATAGATCTGTGTTTCGGTAACAGTTATGGTCAATACACCACCCATCATGTTAATTCTCATTCCATTCCTAAAAATCATTAACTTGTACTGAAAAAATATTTATTTCTTTTTAATTTATAGTACATGAAATTAAAGTTTGCATTAAATTGTTAGAGATGTAGAGTAATATTAATTTTTTGTTTCACTTTAGTTTATACCAAGCATTTTTTTATTATCTTATATTGCTAAATTTTCACAATCTAACTTACTGGTTTTAAATAGTAACAATTTTAGATGCATTTTATAGACAACAGTAATGTTTCAAAATGCAGTGCTTGTTATTTAATGCAATAAAAAATATAATTTATCAAAGGAAACTATTTTTTAAAAAAGGATAGCCTTGAAGAGGATAGTATTAAATTGATTTTTTTTCCTTATTCCTTGATTTTTTTCCCAGTAAAACAGCAAAATCATTACTTAATTTTATTTGTTACTTTTTTGAGTTTCTTCAAGGCAAAGTCATTACCATACAATTATTAATACTTTAACGAAACTTAAAGATTTAAAAGGAACACTGGTTTTGAAGTAAGGTAGTTAAATTCTAAGAAGAAAAAAAAAACTGCTGTTTTGTTTAAAAAAAAAAAAAATTCGTATCTTATTGCAAAAGACTAATTATACCAAATAATTTTTTAATGTTTTTGTGGAATTTTTTTCCTACTTTGTAATTTAATTTTTTTTGAATTTATTTTTGAGGCTATTTTTTTCTTTATTTATATTTGTGATTTTATATACAACTGTAGTTTTTCATTAAATGTTTGTTCTCTTTCATGAGTGATCACTATGGCATGGCTTGATTTAAATTTGATAAAATATCCTGAATTTGTGCTTATTTTGATGAATTGCAGATTCTCATGCATTTTTGTTAATATGGGTTTAATTGTACAAGACATAATTGTCAAGATATAAAATTTAAAGTCTATTTAAATTCATATTTGAAAAGAAAATGTATGCTTACAGATTTTGTAAGAGTAATGCCTATTTAACAAGTTAGTTTTTTTTCCTCTAGAAAAATAATTGTGCCAAACTTTTAACACCCTATTATTTCAATTTAAAGTTGTAAAATTTCTATTTAAATTCATATTTGAAAAGAAAATATATGCTTACAGACTTTGTAAGAGTAATGCCTATTTAACAAATTAGTTTTTTTTTCTTCCAGAAAACTTTTAACACCCTATTATTTAAATTTTAAAGTTTGAAAATTTTCTGATTTGCAAATGAATATTTTGCTTTATGAGAAAACACCAATGATGTAATATTTTGAGAATTTGAACAGTATGATAAACTTTTTGTAAAAATAGTCCTTATTCACTTCCCACCCGTAACATATTTTGAATTTTAAAGCTAAGAAATGGTGACGAACTTTAAAAATTAAAGAACCTTGACTATAATACTTGCTATTACTAGCCGATTATGGATTAATTAGACATGCTTGGTAAATTATTTTCTAAAGTTAAATCAGGACAATCGAGTTGGTGCCAGAGTAAAATGAAATTTGTTTGACTCTGACTCCTCTTAGTTAAAAATTGCTCGGTCTTTAGGCTAAAACTACCAGAGGTTTATGATCATATTCTAATTATTTAGATAAATATTTATAATTATTTGAACAAAACTATTACTGAAATGAATATTATAACAGTTATTCAAATTATAACTTATCAAAAACTTAATTTATCAGATTTGAACATTTTCTTTTTCCTTATTATTGGTTTATTTTATTTTGATTTTTGTGAATTATTAAGAAATAAATTATTGATAAGTTATATTTTTGATTCATAACTTCCAAAAACAAATTGGTTTAGCTAAGACAAAAATTGAATTTAATAATTAATATAAATATAATGTATCAATGTAATGTGCAAAATATTGTAACAATTTTCTAGTTCATGATTATTTACTAAATAGTCTATTTACTAATAAGATATTAATTGTATGTTTGAATGTAAATGTGAAATTTTGATATCCAGCACTTTGCATATCATGGTTTTAAACATTTTCAATATTTTGTACAAAATTTTTTTTTCTTCAATTGAGAAATGAGAAATTTTTCATTTCTTATTGTTTATTTACACCCGTAATTTATGATTTCTTGCCGGCAGGAGGTACTTTGTAAAATTTAGGCTTTGTTGTCTGACTCCTCTTGCTTATTTCAGTATTTAAAATCACAAATGATTTTTTATTTCTTTTAACCAATCATTTTTCAAATGACTGTTCTTCAAAGTAATGAAGTAATTTCTGTGTAACTACTGTTTACTTATCTTGGTAAAAAAAAAAAATATTTAAATGGATGATTTACTAGTCATTTTGAATCTTATTTTTTTTAATGTGATTCATTATCAACCAGTGCCTAATTCTGGGTTTGAATTGCAAATATCACTCACCATAAATTGAATTTCGCTTTTTATATATTTTTATCATTGGTTCCCAAATTCCTTCAAAAATAGTGCTCATAAAAGCCATACATTGTTTACTTTCCAAGACAAAGCATGCGTTTCTTTATTTACTTTATTCTTCTGGTATATTTGTAAATGATGAATTTTGTGTGAATGTTTCTCCTTTACACCATTTTCTTATAACTAAAAAGAAACTATTTTGCTATTTAGAAAATTTTTTAAGCTGACAAGAAGTAGCTTAAGAACAATGATTTCTGTTCAAAACAAATTTTTTTATTATTGGATAGTTGATTGGATAGAGAAATGGTTTTCAACAATGAAACATTTTAATAAATTTGCAAATTTTTGTCAACTGCTTCTTATTTTTTTGACTACTGTATTTTATTCTTTATGTATAAGTTGTTGTTAAGAAGTTTTTTCATTTACCAAATTTTTATTTTCATTTTTTAGCTCAACAGTTGTCTCCTGATTTTTTTCTTCCAGAGGAGCATTTAAAATCATTTTCTGTTAATTTGGATGAACTATATATGTCCGGTGAGCAAAAGCCTGCCGATAACTCTGTGGAAACTGTCTTCAACAAAATAAAATCTGTTTTAAATGAAGAAGTTGTCAAGAAAACGTCTGGTGTCTACTCATTTCAAATTACTGGTATTTTTTTGTTTAATGTTTTACCTCTACTTTTTTCCCAGTGTTATCATTGATTTTCTTCTGATGTAAATTAAATGCTTTATCTACTTATAATCAATATAAAAGGTTGTCTCCCTTTCAATAATCTGGTATAGATCTTTATACAAAACTGGCATATTTACTCTCTTTCTCTCAATATTTTAAAAAATGTTTCAATAAAATAAATAATTAACTCAAATTTATGATCTTTAAAGAAAAGTGTACATAACATTACTATTGGATTATTGATACTATTAATCAAACCAAAAATAATTTAGGCTTTTTTTTATATTAATTCAAAGTCAACACTTTTATTGATTGGGATTTCATTTCTGTGCCATTCGTAAAATGACATTCTATTAAGAGATAATATTTTTGAAGATGCTAATGACCACAGATGTTTAGTTCCACTGTGAAGTTAATAACTTTTTAAGAAATATGTAAAGATCCTGATTTAAATTTTTTTTACTGCTCTATATTTTACCAATTTATTTTACTAAATGTCCTATAAGTCATTTGGAAATTTTAATTTTAATTGTTCATTTCAATTTTATTAGTTATGTTGGCCAGTTTTAACGTCTAGATGTATTTCCTATAATTTATAAATATATTTTGCTAGATGACATTTGTAAAATCAGTTTGTTTCTGCTACCATTCTCTACTACATTTTTAATTTTCCTAATTGGGGCATTCCTGGATAAGGTTATAAATGTCTGTTGCTTTTTAGATCACCTTGCATTTAAGTCATATTCTGCCTGTTTACCTAGAGATCATGAAAAGTTTCTAAATACCCTGCTATTGTGTAACTTACCTGTTATAATGAGGGGCATGGGCGGATCGTGAATTTGTGGGGCCCTGGGCTGAAACTACTTAGGGGCCCTAATAGCCCTTTTGTCAAAAAAAAAACTGTTTTCTATAGTGATGTAGATAAGTATACAGAAAAAAATAGGACAATAAACTAATTTTATTTATTTTGTATTTATTTATCTTTATTTGTGCATACAAACAGCAACTGTACAACATTATTGCAAAAGAAATTGACAGGTTATGTGCAGTTATGTTATATAAATTATAAAGCAACCTTTCTGCAGTTTTGTGCTGCAAACTCCTTTATTTGCTCATCACATTGTAAGTCCTTCGTTAAATCACAATTTATGGAAAGAACTGATAAATGATTTAGTCGATGGTTCGACATTGTTGTCCTATATTTGTTTTCTATATATGACATCCTGGAGAAAGAGCGCTCCGCTTCACAGCTAGTGATTGACAAAGTTAAAAAAATCTTTAGGATAGTATATCAATTTGGGAAAACATCAACAAGTTTCNTTTATGTTTAACCTCTACTTTTTTCCCAGTGTTATCATTGATTTTCTTCTGATGTAAATTAAATGCTTTATCTACTTATAATCAATATAAAAGGTTGTCTCCCTTTCAATAATCTGGTATAGATCTTTATACAAAACTGGCATTTTTACTCTCTTTCTCTCAATATATCAATGAAATATTTAGTAAAGTGCATGTTTTTTCTTTTAAAATTTTTTATTTCTTATATTTTGTGGGTTTCGAAAATTAAGATACTCTCTACTCCAAGATATTCTTAAAACTCTATGTGATAAAGGTAAAACTGCACTTCACTGGATTTTTGTGCATAATTTTATATTACTTTATATGAGAAGTGTGTGTTTTTGACTGAATATATTTTATTTTATATCCCTTTTTTTACTTCTTAGTTTCTGTGTTTAATGAAAATCTCAGTTCATAATCTAATTAACTTCCACCCTTTATATTAACTAATAACAATGTATTGTTAAGATTTAAAATACTTATTAAGAAAATATTTAAAATGTAATAGATCTTCTTTAATTATGATCAAACAGTAAAAATTATTGACTAGAAGTGATATTATGACTTATCAATGTTTTATTCAACACTTTGGTCATTGAGCAATCAAGGTGAATCCATGTTAAAACTTTTTTGTCTAAGAATTTTTTTACTGTTGTTAGTGTAGAGAAAATTTGGCTTCCTTAGAAGAGTTTGAGATTGACTTTTAAAAGATTGAAAATGAAAATGTTTCAAGTTTAGAAACCCACGATATTAAATTACACTAAATATACTATCCAGAATCTTTTTAAATTACTTTATTGTATATTTGTTAAATTTCAGGTCCAGTTAATGAAGAATGGTATGTTGACATGAAAAATGGATCTGGATCTGTTGGCAAAGGATCCCCACCATCCGGTAAAGCTGATGTCACTCTTATCCTGGATCTTGAAAGTTTTGTAAATATGTTCACTGGTAAATTGAAACCTACAAGTGCTTTTATGTCTGGTAAATTAAAATTAAAAGGTGATATGTCTTTAGCAATGAAGCTGGAAAAGTTAATGTCACATTTAAAATCAAAATTATAGAAAGTTTTTATTTCTATGCTCTATAAATTGTTAAAGTTAATTAAATGTTATCTTTAACTATTAAAATGTAAAAGTTTGGATATTTTATATGTTAAAATATATTGTTAACATAACAGATGTTTTAATTGTCTTCTAATATTGTATGTAAATGAATTGTTTTTCTACTTTAAATTTATATTGTATTTGGCAAGTTTTGAACAAACAGTAATAAAATTTTATTTTTCTTAAAAGCATGTTTTTTTAGATTATTTATTAGATTACAGATGAGCATTTGTTGCCTTGATATAAAAGTAACAGCATTCTACGAAACATGGTATCCGCGTACCTGGAAAGTCATGAATTTCGTTATTGAACAAAATTTGTCATGAAATGTCATGATTTTTACTATTTTTTAAAAAGAAATCATGGAAAGTCATGGATTTAGGTCGCCGAATCTTTAAAATGGAATCCCCATCCCCCCTCAATTTCATCATATTCCAAATGTCAGAATTGCTAACAAAATCACTACTCACAGTCAGAATATAAAATTTCTTTATCATGTTCATTAAAAATTATGGTGTTCTTTCAAAAAATGAAGGAAAAAGCAGAACATTGTTCTAAAACGAATTATGTTTTAAACTTCTATGATTTAAGAATTTTTATTATTTATTTTTTTATCAATTTCAATTTTAAGCTGAAGCAAGCCAATCATTGGTGAATTTTTTTATTTATTTCGAAATGAGAACAGAGAAATAAGGAGCATTTCTTTCTTTTCTGATGAACAAGAAAAGTATCTTTTGAATATAGTTCTGCAGAAAAAACAACAAAAAATTTTTATTTTTATTTTTTCCCCATCTATTTTATTGCTTAACTCTTTCTTTACTCTGTTTTTTAAATTTAAAATCTATAAATATGAAGATGCAGAGTATAACAGTTTTGGTTATAATTATCATTTCAATGAATGTTATTATAATGCTTTTTTAAATTTAGTGTTACGTTTTTGTCGGAGAAAATAGTAATTTCTTTAAGTCATGAAAAATTCTTGGAACTAGTCATGGAAAATCATGAATTTGAAAATCTAAAATGTTGCAGATACCCTGACAAAAGCGAAATTGATTTCTAAATAGCTTATACAATTTTAGAATTATGTCTTGCATTAAATAAATATCCCAACATATTTATTAATTAATTTGCTTTCGCTTAAAAATCTTTTAATATGTAATCCATAGCATGCCTTTACAATTACATTGCCTTGGTTTAAAAAATAATGTAGTGCATCTTCGTATGATCCTGTATTTTAATAAATGAAAATATAGTATTTTAACGTAAAGTTGACTTTTTTTCGCTGTGAAATGCTTGCAGAACATTTGTATAAATTAATAAGTCCTGTTGCAGAGCATTTGAAAATATTCTGCTTATGGCTCCACAACTAAAAATATTAANTAGTGCATCTTCGTATGATCCTGTATTTTAATAAATGAAAATATAGTATTTTAACGTAAAGTTGACTTTTTTTCGCTGTGAAATGCTTGCAGAACATTTGTATAAATTAATAAGTCCTGTTGCAGAGCATTTGAAAATATTCTGCTTATGGCTCCACAACTAAAAATATTAAGCTATTTCACCATTAAAAAATCAATCATTCTCCTTTCACCTTCCTTTATCCTTACAAAGACAGGAGAGAAAATGATACTGCTCTTGTGAAATGCTTCAGACAATGGCGTCTTTTTATCTAGATGGTATTGGTTATGATAGCCCACAAGCTGATATGATGTCTTAAATGTTCTCAATTTCTCTTCACTAAAAATTCCTTTTCTACTTATCAGTTGGGAAACTATATTTAACACTGCTGCTTTGAAAAGAGAGCAAAAGTCTAGCCATTGAGGTGTTCATATAAATGAAACATTTATTTAGACATTTGATAGATGATAAATATGGCAACTCTCAGAGCAATGCATGCCTTACAGGTATGCATTGCTTTCTTATTTTTCGGTGCATAGTGGGAGGTTTATTTTCAAGGGGGTATTACCACCTTTCCTATGAAGTGATGGAGACGTGTTAGGGAGTATAAACCTAGTAATTAAATGGTCTGACGAAGTGACACAGGACTAAAAACGACTATTTGGTATCATATGACTAACTTGAATTTCTTAGTAAATAGGAAATACATATTTATTTTTTTGTGGCTACAACTAGAATTATGTATACATATCTATCCAATGTTTTAATATTTATTTTTTGTATTAAAAAATTATTTTTTTAAAATTTAAACAAATATTACTGTAAATAGTTTTTGTAGATTATTGAATCTTTTTTATGTCATAGCAATTATTCTAAAAACAATTTATGGCATTAAACTTCGTTGTTAGTCTACCTTTCCCCTAAATGAACAACTCTTGCAACCAGGTAATTTTATGGCACCAAAGATCGTCCGTTTGATGGAAGTTTCATGGTATTTAGTATTTTATCTAGGAAGTCAATTAAATTTTTTTTACCTTATACTGTAATAACACATTGCTTGACTAAAATATTGAAAGAAAGGGTTGTGCTAATTAAAATGTTTGACTGAAGAATTTTTTATTTTAGTAGAAAGATGCAGAAGAATAAATTAATTTCAGAAGTTGTATAATGTATAACCTTCACTACCATTTATTGCATTTGCAAAGATTTTACAATTTCCAACTTATAAAAAAAGTATTTTTTATCTTTTAGCATAATATTGTACCAGCATAAGCAGCACTATATTAGCATAATGCAAGTCTCCTCCCAGGGCACACTCTAGTGTGACGGGTATAGCGCCCAGGCTCTGAGCCGGACCTGAGCTTTCTTCTATTTTTCTCTTGTGATGGTCATATTTTGAGTTGCCGATAATCACTTTATAATTACATAATTACATTGACCTAGTGAACGAACATTATTTCATTTACTTTAAGACTCTGGTTAGCATTTAAAAATTATCGATTTTTTTCTTTTAATTATCTTTTATTATTTTAGCTGCATTTCCACATTTATTAATTTTGTTGCACGTCTATATTTGTTATTATCAGTTTTCTCCTGTGTCATGGTTGTCAAATTAACTGGAAAAGGCTTTTCATCTCATTTGGTTGCTACTTTGCTTTATCAGATCCTAATGGGAAACCATGCATTCACAGTGCATTGAGTTCTGTGTCCCTGGAAAAGGGGATCTTGGTAGTTGAGGGGCATCTTGTTACTCCTACGTACTGCTTTGTCCCATGCATCAGGTAAACGGGAGGTCCATATTGGCCTGTATACATTAACTGGCTTATCTCAAACTCTATCTGTTTGGTGTATCTGAACGTTATCTAGGGTCAAGCTGGGAGTCACCTCTTGGGTACCTCGTTAAGGGTAAAGGTTGTTTCAGGGATGACTTTTGGGCATTGGTGGTAAAGTGACGGAGTTCTATCTGTCCTCTAAGTTGGACTCTGTGTTGTGTGGTGCGCTGGTAGTGGATTTTTATTTTTCTTTGGCTGAAAGTAAACAGGTGTTCAGTTTCGCACATTGAAGCAAAGTAATTTTTTAACTGATTAAGCATTTCATGTTCGAATGAATACTAGGTACTTTTTTCAAATGCCTTTAACTAAAAGGAAGGAGTTTCCCACGGTAGCGTCATCAGTGTCACAGTTTTCTTCATCAAAATTAATGACATTTTATCTTCATTACCATTTCATGTAGACGGATGACTCTTTGTCGACGACATTCAAATCACTTGTAAATCTTATAACATGAATACTATCGAAAGAAAACTTCAACATGTTGTCAATCAAATGTTGCAATGAGTTGATAACAATGGTTTTACTCTCCCCCTCCAAAAAAAAAAAAGCATATTGCTGTTATTTTTGTAAAAAACGAGGTCTTTATCCAGAACCAGAAATTTATATGCAGTTGTCAATGAAACGAAATTCTTTGGCCTAATTTTGGGCTCAAAATTAACTTTTAAATTTCTTTGTGAAAAGTCTGAAGCAAGCTTGTGGAAAAAAAGATAAATTTAGAATTTTAGCAAATACCAATTTGGGGAGGGGAGGGATGGTGCAAATTCATAGCTAAAAATTTACCGATGCATAATTCGCTCTAAACTTGATTATATCTTAATTATATATAGATCTGTGAGAAAATCTTTTCAAAGATATCTTGATACCATACCATCACGAAAGCTTACGTATATCGATTGGATCTTTTTGTACCTCTCCCCTATATTTTGCACAGTGAACCATCTCTCACAATGTGGCGGAACAAATTAGCACTGAATTGTTACTTCTATATTAAATGTCACTCTCACCATCCTATGTATTTTAACATGACATCGCCAAATCATGTTATTCATTTTAATAACAGACAATTGACAATCCCAACATTTGGGGTGAGAATGAAGCAACTTTTATCTACCTTAGACGTAGAAGATTTATTTTAATTGTAGTGAACCAACTTCTTCTTGGATCACTACAATTCCTCATGTAAAGGATATTTTTAATCACCTCATAAAAACACTTTTCCTGTCATATTGTGAAATATTTAATCTTTACAGAAAAGAACTGCGAAGGTTTTAATCCAATTTACACTGACGGCTCGAAAAGAGAAAATCACATAGCATGTGCTGTTGTGACTTTAGAATTTATCCTATCCGAAAATTTACATGCGACTTGTTCAGTTTTCATATCTGAATCACGTGCAATATTATTAGCCCTTCAGTGTCTTTCTTACCAAAAAGTGAAAAAATGAATTATATATTCCGACTCCCAAATTTGTATTAATGCTTTATTAAACGCATCCAATAAATCTCATTCCATAGTTAATATCATAATGCTGTTATATAAACTAAACTCAGTGGCACGACAGCCCATAGAGGGGGCCTACTGTGCCCATTTCAGTTTTCTTGGGCTCTGGGGTGCAAGAGCAGATGTTCCGGTCAGGTGGTCAGCCGAACGCGGAACCCCCAGTGTTTAGCTCCCAAGCATGCTTGGTACTCATTTATCGACCCACTGAAGGGATGAAAGGCTGAGTCAACCTTGCCCGGCCCGAGGATGGAACCCAGGACCTGTGGCATGGGAGAGCGAAAAGCTAATCCACAGCCACCGGGCGTCATTGCTGCTATATAATGTTTTATATAATTTAGCGTATGAAATAAATTTTGCATGAGTTCCAGGATACACAGTAATCTCTAGAAACGAAACTGCTGATAAAGTCACAAAATAGAGAAACACACAAATTAACTCGTATCCCTCTTGTATTATCA